TGGAGAATCGGAGCTTCACTACCACCTATATGTGAATTCTAAGGGAGAAATATCATCTCCCCCTATGTTAGAGAACTCTTTAAATATCAGATACCAAATTCTTAAGATATATATTAAGTCTTGGAACAAGACTTTATGGAATAAAATGCACATCAAGAAAACAGCAGCAAAAAAAAAAAAAAATCATTTAATTTGTTTTCTCTTTAGGTTTTTATTGCTGAACCTATGCCTGTACCAAAAATAAAAGAACTAAGAAGTCCAGTTTCATTTTAGTCATACTCACGCAATCCCAGCAGAAGCATGAATAAAATGAATAAAGAGGCCACAAATGAAATGCCTGTGTACCCTGGGAGTAACTGCTCAGCCAAAATGTTCCAAAGGCAGTTTGCCAAATGAAAAGGCATACTGGGAGTCCAAAAGCTTAAACCAACATTTTATTACAATTACTGGCTTTTCTCCACACCTCTCCCATCCTTCTACCTAAGTTATAGTTGAACCACTACATCTAAATTAGATGTCAGTTTCTCTGTACATTACAAAATACAGTGACTGAGGAGAATAAGAGAAAGGCTTGCAAAATACATCCCCTACATATTTACACTGGGAACAGCATGAGGGCAGGCTCCAAAACTACCATCTTGGTTGAACCTGGACCAATCACTCAACCTCCCTAGATTCAGCTTCCATATCTGTAAAGTGATTGTAAAAATAATACCTGATTAACTAAAATATAAGTAGTTTTTCATATATTTATTAGCATAGGTTTCCCCTTATCCAAACTGACTGTTCATAATTTTGCCTATTATCCTATTCACTTGTTTAATTGATTATTTATAGAGGTTCTTTACATATTCTAGATACTTAATCTCCATCAGAAAAATGCCAGTTTTTCCATAAACAGGGGCTCTTCTGTGAGTTGTCCATTATTTGCTCAGTTCTTTATTATGTCATTTATTTTCTTCATTAATATGTAGGAAAGCTAAGTGGATGCTAATCATTTTTCTATTAATGGGTTACTTGCTTTTACCAACCTGTGCTTGGACTTTGCATTTTGTAAATAAATGTTTTTTATCTGATCATATACTTAAATTTAATAAACACAATAATTATAATAGTAATCACATAATACCTGCCCTAACTATCTCATAGGACTGTTGCATTATTTAAATGATATATTTTACAAACTATAACTTATAAACTATGATTTAAAAAAAAAAAAAAACTCTCACAGAAAAGTCACCCACAATTCTACCTCAAAATAGGACATGTGAAAAACAATTTGTTTGCAAGCAATCAAAATTCTCATTTAATTAATAATAACCTGAAAGTTCTCAGGAATCACCTTCACCCTTAATTTATGGTACCCCAATGGGAGATGCATACTACCCAGGGATTCCCTACTGGAACTTCCTCTATAAAAGTGTCAATTCTAATGGATTACACCCTCAATCTTACTGTTTCACAAAATGAGAGGGGAGCTTTAAGAGCCTATGTTAAATTCCCTGCTGAAAACAGCTACTACTTTCTAGGCTGATTTGCAGAGCACTTCACAAATAGACTCTTAGGACTTACAGTTCATTATTAAGAATAAGAGAAAATTACTGCTTTTTATTATAGTATATTTCATCAGCCCCATACTTTTATATGTATTTAGTAACATTTTGTGCAGTTCTCTACATAATTTACATCCTCCTCATTTATACAATTCCCTTTAATAATGTGATCCAGATTAATAGAGTCCTAAAGACTAGACTGCAATGACTTAAAAAGATATCACTACGTAATTTGAAGAAAGTCAAATTTTTTATACTTGCTCCTAAAGATAAGTCATAAAATGGGCAGTGTGGAGTGTGGTATACAGAATAATGGTTGCCTAAAGATATCCATGTCCTAATCCCTAGAACCTGTGATTAGTCACATGGCAAAGGAGACTGCAGATGTGATTAAGGTTAAGGACCTTGAGATGGGAAGAGTAGCCTGAATTTTACAGGTGGAGTCAATCTAATCACATGAGTCCTTAAAAAGAGGAAGGTGGCACAAAAGAGTGGGTCAGAGAGGGGCAACATGGGACAAATGTGACCCACAAGTGCAGGTTTTGAAGATGGAGGAAGTGGGCCATGAGCCAAGGAATATGGTAGCCTCTAGGAGCTGGAAAAGCAAGGAAACAGATTTTCCCCTAGAGCCTCCAAAAAGGAACACAGCCTTGACACCACTTTGATTTTATTGCAATCAGATTTGTGTTAGACTTCTCGCCTACAAAACTGTAAGATAATAAATTTATGTTGTTTAACCAACTGAGTTTGTGTGCATAGAAAATAAATACACAGAGGATACCTAGCTTGTTTTCAGCAAAACCAACTGGTTAGAAGAGCATATCCAACCTGGCTCTGAGCTGAAATCACAACTACTTGTCAACTGTGTAAACTTTTATCAATTATAAACTTCCCTGTGTCTCAGTTTTCTCATCTGTAAAACAGGACTAACAATATCCATCTCACAAAGACTGTTGAAGTACTAAATGAGTTGATTCACGTAAAGCATTTAAGGCATTGCTTCACCATATAGTAGGCACTAAACACATATTAACTTCTGCTATTACTGATTTTAATCAATAATTTATTTTTAACTACCTTCTTTTTTGGTCCCCCACCAAAAAAAAAAAAAAAAATCACTAGATGAAGTCTTCAAAATAGTCAAGGAAATGAAGCCATCTAAAAAGAAATGTCTGGCCGGGCATGGGGGTTCACACCTGTAATCCCAACACTTTGGGAGGCCACAGCAGGCAGATCACCTGAGGTCTGGAGTTTGAGACAAGTCTAGCCGACATGGTAAAACCCTGTATTTATAAAAAATACAAAAATCAGCTGGGTGTGGTGGCGCATGCCTGTAATCCCAGCTGCTCGGCAGGCTGAGGCAGAAGACTCGCTTGAACGAGGGAGTCCAAGGTTGCAATGAGCCGAGATCACACTACTGCACTCTAGGCTGGTGACAGAGCGAGACTCTGTCTCAAAAAAAAAAGAAGAAGAGATGTAACAAAATTAGTTTCTACTGAAATTTGCTGTAATTGACATATTTCACCTTATTTGATATTTATACAACATTCATTTGCAAAGCCTGCCCTGTCATTTCTTCATAAATAATTAATTTTTTTATTTCACTTGGCCACTGTCTTGGCAACATTTACATAAATTAATATAACCAGGCTAAGCAGTGATGATTCACATCATAAAAAAGCAAAGATGTAGTAATTGGTAATTTCCATGAAAGGCAGAGATAAACTACAAATCAAACGTATAAATGCATTTTGTTTCATAATTCCACAGTCTACAACAGCTCAGAGCAGTGTTAAAACTCAAAAGCAACACTACATCAGAAAGAGGGAGAAAACAAAACCTTTCTAGCTCCAAGAAGAGGCTGGAGTAGTACAAACTTTTGTAAAGAATCATAATAAAAATAAATGTTTGCAATTTTTTAAAACTCAGCTACTAATTAAACTAACAAAGGAAAATCTATTATAAAATTCTATACTTTCCTGTAGTTAAAGTAATAAACTTCAAGGTCCCAAGCCTAAATAACCCTAAAATAATTTTAAGTGGCATTTTAAAGGCAACAAAATATGCACCAACAATATATTATTAAGCTCTCAACAGAAACATTTCCAATTAGTTAGACAAAATGTACTGATTTAATCCAAATTGTTTTTCTATTTTTTCCACCCTTTCATTATCTCAAGCTCTACAAAACTAATAAGAACTGTAAGAACTAATTTTTATCCGAAAAGACAACGATAATAAATATTACAATTTCTTTGAAAAGCAATGAAGATTTTGGCTGCCACAAGAAAGCACCTGCGAGGTATCCCACAAAAGACATCCAGTCTCCTTCTCCCCCAACCCAAAGCTACAATAGCAGAGAAACTCTCTGCAGAGGCCCAGAAGCTCTCCAAGGCCAGTTGAGCTAAACCCTCTGCAAAGGTAGGTTTAAGACAAACCACCAGAGTCTCCTAAAACTTTGCATTCAGACTCAAAGTGTACCCACAAGCCCTCAACCTTAAACATAACCCCAAAATGGCTTGGTCTTGTTCAACAGGATATTGGACATCCCCAAAGAAGAAAATATAAGTTTGTACATATTTCCTCAAAGTGTGTTACAGGTATGACTGTGTGTGCACACGTGGATGCATGCACATTTAGGAGTGGAGAGGGCCTAGGACAGAGGTCACACACTCAAAAGCTCCCTAGGACCAGAAATTGAACGTAATACGTGAGACAGTTGAGTAAAAGCTACTAGGATAAAGATTATAGCACAAAGGAAAGCACAAGCTCTAACAAAAAGTATTCAAAACTCAACTTTAAAAAAACAGTGCTGGTGGCCCAGGTGTAGTGCTCACGCCTGTAATGCCAGCACTTTGGGAGGCCAAGGCAGGTGGATCACTTGAGGCCAGGAGTTTGAGACCAGCCTGGTCAACATGTTGAAAACCTCGTCTCTACTAAACACACAAAAATTAGCCAGGCATGGTAGCGGGTGCCTGTAATCCCAGCTTCTCATGAGGCCAAGGCAGAAGAATCCCTTGAACACAGGAGGTGGAGGTTGCAGAGAGCCAAGATCACGCCACTGCACTCCAGTCGGGGCAACAGAGCAAGAGTCCATCAAAAAAAAAAAAAAAAGGAAAGAAAGGAAGGGAGGGAGGGAGGGAGGAAAGAAAGAAAAGAAAAGGAAAGAAAAACAGTACTGGTCAAATAAAACACAGATGCAGCTCGATTCCCCAGGCAGGCCAGGTTCAGCTGCCACTTTTCAACCTTGATAATGCAACAGCCCAATAAATCACTGTACATATTTGCTCTGAAGGTTACAAAGGGCTTATCACAGGTTTCAACACACTTACCTCAGGCTCACTAGCCCAGCCCAACCTAGCCCAGCCCCCAAAAAGCTCCCCCAGGTCTTTGCCTAGGAACTGAAGCATACTAAAAAGCTTAGTGGCTGGAGAATTAAATACTTACCACTTGAGCTTCCAGCAGTAGAATACTGAGAGGTATCAAGGAATTTTCTAGGAGTAGGGAGGTTTGTAACGTCAATCAGAGGAACAGAAGCATCTTTCACAAGGGAGCTAAATAGGAAAAGAAGTACCAGTTACCACTTTCTCCAAAACCAACTGAAGTCCCACTACACGCCCCACCCTTATCACTTTTGTTTCTGTCATGAGCCCTCTTTACACTGGAACTTCAAACATCTGGAGCTCCCCAATATATTTCCAATTAAGAGGTGATTGTCACAGAAAGGGGTATAAAAATGTATTATTAGAGTTCCAAGTACTTAAATTTTTGTCATCTCATTCAACGCTGTTTTAAAAATTAGTGTAGTGTATTCTGGATCAACTGGATGACCACCTTGTAATAACATGATGCCAGGCAATTTCACTATCCTCCTTTGTATCTGTATTAAATATTCATTTATCAACAAAGAAAGATCAAATGACACCATGCCATGATACCAAATAAAGGTTTAACTGTTTACTTGTGTTTTTCAAGCTAGAGTTTTTGACATATTCCAGAAGTTTACTACATTTAGTTTTCTTTAAAAGAGACTCATAAATGTCATGACATTGAGAATCACAACAATTAAAATGATTTAAGGCTATCAAACAGGTTAATTCAGTATTTGATTATCTATTTCACCTTTCTTAACAAGGCCAAGCCCCTCATCTTAATGATTAACTTCAAATAAACTAATAAGCTTTAAATAAACTAATAAATCAACTTTCTTCAAAATAAACACATTAATTTTAAATCACAGAAACTATAAAAAACAAAATTTCAAATTAATTTCCATTTATGAGCACCTGTTAAGTGCAAGAACACAGGCAATGCCAAGCCAGCTAAACCTTATTCCCTGCCCTCAAGAAATGAAATTATCTCGCCACACTGTCTACAGCAGAAGAGCTTCTCGAAGCCAAGTCCAAGGGTAGAGAAGTCAAAGCCATAATTCTCACTTTTTAGTACTGAAATACATCATCAGTAGCAGTGGCTAAGGAGAGCAGGCAAAGGAGAAGCAGGGAAGAGACCACGCCCATAGAAAAGATGTCTTCAAATGGAAGGCTGGAAGGATGTGTGAAATTGTGAACAACGTCTGTCCCGACCACGGCAATAAATCCCCATCTTCCTCCCACACTCCCTTTGGAACAAATGGGCTAGGTATGTGTGTATTTACAATCCAATAAAAAACAAACATGTTCTGAGAACTTCAAAAAACTTAAAGTTTGTTAAGTAATAATTTGGGTTCAAGTAATAATTTCACTCTGTGTTAAAGAACAAAATTATCACTTAAGGTTTTCTTCTTTTTATTGAATACAAATAATATGGGAGCCACTGTCCTAGGCCTTGAGGATTACTACGACACTCATTAACTTCTCCCTTTTCACTTATTACAGGGAAACAGGGAATCATTACTCAAATAATTCTTCAGCGTCCATTATGTGCTTGGCACTGTGCTAAGTGCTGAGAATGCAAGTATAACTAAGATATGAACTAAACCAAACAGCATATTTCCAATTGTTACAATCACTCACAGGCTAATGTGAAAAGTGAAGTATAAGATATTAAAGTAACTGAAAGCATTTACCAGGAATTGAACTGGCATCCTCCCAACAACTCTTTTCCACCAATATAAACCTACAAATTCCTAGCCTAAGCTATCTTAAGAAAATCCAACAGCCTTCAAATCCAATAAGTTTTCATAATGGTTGTCCATTCTTTCTTGTTTTATGACTTCTTTTGTCTTCTCATTTTTTTCCACTCAATGACCTCATCCTCTTTCACCTGCATTTTACTCACAATTAGAAAACGTTTTACAGGTCCCCCTAAGCCCTGGATACAGATACCCAAAGACACAGAGGGCTCTTTCCACCATCTTTCCATGCCATCATAATGATGTGCATAAACGTCCTGTCTGCTGCTTTCACGAGCATCGAGAATGCCGAAAAGAGAGGCAAACACCTGGTTCTTATTAAACTGTTCTCCAAAGTCATTATCTGGTGTCATCTTCATCTGTGAATGACAAAGCATGAGTACACCAGCAAATCTGAAATCACTGATGATCACGGAGCTGGGAAAATTGTTGTGAACCTCACAGTGTGGACAAGTTGTTGTGAACAAGTGTGAAGTGATCAGCCCCAGATTTGACATCCAAGTCAAAGATCTAGAAAAATCACAGAATAATCTGCTTCCATCCCACCAGCTTGGTTTCATTGTACTGATTCAGCTCACATCATGGACCATGAAAAAGCATCACAAAAACACACAGGAGAGAAAATCCTGGGGAGGTAATACATATTTACAAATAAAATGCTTCAACAGACCAAAGAATAAAGTAAATTAAAATTTTCTAGTATAAAAGAAGACACAGGTTCATAGTACTGCTACAGAGTAAAAAAACTTCAACTTTAAATGGCAGGAAAAAATATATCATACATTGTCTAAATATTTAAATATTTCTATAACAAAATGGAGGGTTTATTTTTAAAGCACAGGTAAACAAAGGTATCAATCAGCAGAAAAATTCAATTATATAGCTGCAATACTGCCTGCCACACCTAATGATGAAACAGTTATGTGTGTGCACACTGATATTTTTATATATGTATTTATAATAGCACACACTTCTATGAACACAGATGTACACATGAATCACTTTAGATTAAATCCTACAATTATCTTCTCAGTATTAACCTAAAAACATATTTCAGTTAAATATAGGGTGATAAATGGCTTGCCATTTCAACTCTGAAAAACATAACCTGCTGATTTTATTATCAGAGCCAGAAGGGCCCTTGAACTCCATCAATAAACTTTTAGAAAGTCAATTTACTGCAAAACTATTTACATACACTCATCTCTCTCTCTCTAAAATTTTCCCTTAGGCTTCAATTTTCTCCTTTGTGAGCACTAACCCAAAGGCAAATAACTCTGGAAATGACTTTAGTTTTTCTCCTGCTGTTTTATGAAAGGACTTAGTCTCAAAAGTTCCAGAGAAAGGAGGCACACCCACTCACTTTGTGACTTCAGACACGAAGCTCAGTGGAAGGTAGGCGCTATTACAGAATATCGCATAAAACAGAACAGACCTCAGTTTCCATTTCATAACAGAGAAAAAGACTTCTTCTCACCATATGTCAGAGATAAAGAAGGAATTAATTAATACCTTCAAAGGGTTTTTAATCTCTCAGAGTTTTTGAAAACAAAAAATACAATCAAAATTCGACTGTTGGAAATATTTTTATTTTTAAATATATGATTACAAATGTTTATTTTAAATTCATTCAGAATCATTCACAGCTGAGATCAAAAGATAGCTGATGTACAGTAAATCCCTTCTAGTATAAAGTAGTCCCCCCAAAATTACCAATTATATATTGTGACTGATTGCATTCTGCCATTTAATAGCAACATGGCAGAGGACAGGAGACGTATACAACAAATTAAACCAAAAACAAGCAACAACCACTGTAACCTCAAGGACTTCCTGGCCATTAACCAACCATCCAACTAGTAAGGATCTGCTTCTAAATGTTAGATTTCAAAATTTCAAGATATGAAAACAGTTTTTTAAGAGGAGTTAGAAGTGCTGAGAGCTCATTAAACATTCTGTTCCTTCACTTAGCAATACATGGATTCAACTATATCCAAAATTTACAACTGCAATTCATTTGGCTGATTTTGTGAAGCTAAAAACTGACTGAGGCGACTTGAACTTTAAGTTGAAAATCTAATAACTGATATATTCACTTCTACAACCAGAATAGCTGGCGCAGTACCTGTCAAAGAGCAAGTGCTCATAAAATTTGTTAAATCAAACTGAGCTGAGAAATATCTGTCAAAGATAATGTGCCCTTAGTAAGAAGATTTAACTAAATAATGAAACAGGAAAGTCTGGCATAGTAATTCTCGATAGTTCTAAGATCTGGTGGAACATACAGAAAGAATAATGAATGATTTAGAGGGTATAAAAGTAAAAAAGAGTCATGCTTTCAAATGACAGACCAAGGGTGAAGACACAGTAAAAAAAAAAAAAAAAAAAAAAAAAAAAAAAAAAAAAAAAAAAAAAAAAAAAAAAAAAAAAAAAAAAAAAAAAAAAAAAAAAACAAGAAAGAACTAAAAGAAAAAGAAAACCAACATATTTAAACAGAAAAAAAACAATCTTTAAAAGACAAAATACTTAGGAAGCAAATACAATGGAGCGAAGAACACTCTTTGCATGCCCAGAGACAAATATGGACACCAAATTTTCTCTTCCAGGATGGCTGAGGAAGCAAGGTTAAACCAAGTATTAATCCAGGATGCATGCAATAAATAAAAGAATTATTTTTTAAACAACTTTTTGTTAATTTTATCTGGCTATAAAGGTATAAATTCTTTCTTGAAAATACAAAAAATAAAAATAATCCATTAATATCATTTTGGTATAATGCCTTCCAAAACAACTTACAGAAAAGAGCATCAAAGCCAAATGCAGTGGTATGCCAGTTACTTAGGAGGCTGAGGTGCAAGGATTGCTTGAAAAAATATTTCTAAATGAGTCTCTGTCTGTCCACTCCCCCCATATCACACACCCCAAAAATGGCACACATTCTCCTTTTTCAACATTCTTTGATCATCCTGCATACTTTTGAATTCTAGTTTTTCCCTTCAAAAGCATAACCTAAACATTCTCCCATTTAATTAAAAAATTTCTTCAAAAGGATCATTGGTAATTGTATTATCATTTTTGAAAACATGCTCATGATGTACATAGGAAATAAAAGAATTTCTACTTCCCTGTTCCCTATCTCACATTTCTATTTCTCACAAGTAATTCCTTTTATCAGGGTTTGACATTATCTGGACATTTTCTATACAAACACAAATATTTATATGTAAAGTATACATATTTAAGTTTCTATCCTTTCGATCTTTCACAAATAGGTCATACTATCTATGCTATTTTTCAATTTGCTTTTGGGACCCAAAAATGCACCTCAGAAACCTTTCCACATCAGCACATAGAAATCATTATCATTCCTTTTAAGTTCTATAATTACATGGTATCAATATAATATACTCTGCTTAATGAACA